CCTTACTTTTCAGTGGACAACGAAGTGAACGCCATCAACGGATTGATGTTAGCAAGCTGGTTGCAACTTCTGTTGCAAGTAAGTATCGAACCGAGCTAGCCTCTAGGCTAGCTACCACTCCACCGAAAAGTATAGATGAGCATTGGTTGCAATTGCATGACGCCATGAAAATGGCGGGAACAGTCAGTTGTGGGTTTGCGAAACGTCCCGCTTTTAAGCACTGGGTTTCTTCTGGTTCCTTACAACTCATTGAAGCCCGTCGGTCTACTCCGGGTGACCGTGAGTTTGACCATAAACGAAGGATGTTACGTAAGGAAATTGGGCAAAGCTTGCGTAAGGACCGAGAAGCCTGGTGGTCGATGCGTGCTAATGAGCTGGAAGCAGCAGCTGCATCTGGTAACTACCGGAAGCTCTTCCAGCTCATCCGAGCCACTGGCAGCAAGAAGTCTGGTGTGAGTGAAACAATCTGCGAGGATGATGGGATGCCAATCACTAACATCCATCGACGTCTTGGACGATGGGCAGAATTTTTCGAAGGGCAGTTCAACTGGCCTGCTGCTCCGGCAACATCGGTCAGACTGTCCTGCCCTCCATGGCCGGTGACGACTGATCCACCAAATGAGGAGGAAGTCCGCAAGGAACTCCAACTCTTGAAGCGTTACAAATCACCTGGCCCAGATGACTTACCTCCGGCTCTTTTTAAAGATGGTGGTGACTTTTTGACTAAGGAATTGACGACGTTGTTTACAAAGGTTTGGGAACTAGAGTGTGTACCAACGTCATGGAATGAGTCGATAGTTGTCCCTATCTTTAAAAAGGGTTCACGTCGTTCCTGTAACAACTATCGGGGGATAAGTTTACTTCCGATTGCGTCCAAGCTATTGGCTTCCGTCATTCTTCGTAGGTTGTTCAAAACCCGAGAAAGATTGACTCGCGAGGAGCAGGCTGGGTTTCGTTCTGGTCGAGGATGTATTGATCATATCTTCACCCTCCGCCAAATGTTAGAACACCGCCATACTTTTCAAAGGCCAACAATCGTAGTGTTTCTTGACATCAGGGCTGCCTTCGATTCGTTGGACAGGACTGTTCTCTGGGATTGTCTATTGAAGAAGGGTGTGCCTGAGAAGTTTATTAACATCCTAAAAGCCCTATATAAAAACACCTCAGGCAGAGTGAGGGCATACAACCACCTCTCTCCATTGTTCCATTCGAGCAGTGGGGTTAGGCAGGGTTGCCCAATCTCACCATTCCTCTTCAACTTTGCCATCGATGACATTCTGGAAACAGCTCTGATGAATGTAAGTAATGGTGGTGTGGATCTGTTGCCTGGAGAAAGACTTCTCGACCTTGAGTATGCGGACGATATTGTCTTACTGTGCGATAATGCCCAAGGCATGCAATCCGCACTTAATCAGTTGGCAATCAGTGTCCGTAGGTATGGTATGTGCTTTGCACCTTCGAAGTGCAAAGTACTTCTACAAGACTGGCAGGATTCTAATCCTGTACTCACCCTGGATGGTGAGCAGATAGACGTAGTTGAGAAGTTCGTGTATCTGGGTAGCTGCATAAGTGCTGGTGGGGGTGTGAGTGATGAGATCAATGCACGAATAGTGAAAGCCAGAGCGGCTTATGCCAATCTGGGCCACCTTTGGCGCCTTCGTGATGTTAGTCTGGCTGTAAAAGGTCGGATCTACAACGCGTCGGTGAGAGCAGTTTTGCTCTATGCTTGTGAAACCTGGCCTCTCCGAGTTGAGGACGTTAGACGACTCTCTGTGTTCGATCATCGCTGTCTCCGAAGGATTGCTGACATTCAGTGGCAACACCATGTCAGTAATGCAGAGGTTCGGCATCGTGTGTTCGGGCACAGAGATGATAATTCAATTGGTGTCACCATCTTGAAACACCGACTTCGGTGGCTTGGACATGTTCTCCGAATGTCGTCCCAGAGAATTCCACGTCGTGCATTATTTGCCGACTCTGGGACTGGTTGGAAAAAGCGGAGAGGTGGTCAGTGCATGACATGGTGTCGTGGCATGAAAGAAAGCTGCAAAGGACTGGCTTGTGTTGGTCCTTCACGACTCCCTGGTTGGGGTCCGAGAGATGGTGCTACACAGTGGCTAGAGACGTTATCAGATATGGCTCAGAATAGAAGCCAGTGGCGATCCTGCTGTAACCTTCTTTTACTTTCTTCATAAAAAGTGGTTGTGTCTCCTTTACCTGAAAGATTTCTTCTGATTGTACCTTTTCGTTCCGTCGTTACTACCACACTACCTTACTCCAATCTCTTCGTCATTGTTCTCTTTTTCTTTTGCGCTCCTTAGTTTTTTTTCTACTTCTCTTCGAATTTTCATTGTTTTGTGTGGCGCATATATATTGGCGCTCTCTTGTACCAATATTCATGTGTTCAAATAAGTAAATAATAATAATAATAATACTTCCTTCCATACGTTTGCAGCACTAGTCGGCATTGCGCGTCATGGTAATCGGTGTTCAGGAATACGTAACACGTGGCTCAACTATCTCAATCCATGAAGATTTACAACCTCATCAACTGATTTACCATCATTCCCTAATACCCTGCGTCTAACCTGTGTCACTACTACTTACTCGGTGATCCCAATAGATGCCAGCAATATTTCAAAGGCATCTGTGGTCAAATACTAATAAATCATGAGTATCTTCTACTCTTACTGGCCACTTTTCGAAGCTGTAAAGTGGAACAGAACGAACTGCCACGCAGTATACTCGTTCCTTAATTGATAGACAGATATCTTACCTTCGACATTGGTGACGTAAGTTGGCAAAAGCCAAACGAGCATTTTGAATCCGTGCTGAATTTTCTTCAGATACCAATCCATTAGGACTGACCAGACTACTTCACTCCCTATCCTACGTTCATGTGTTGACGCAGACCAGTCCTGAAGTAACAATTTGCATTTAGAGGGAGAGAAACACATCCCAAACATCCTGGCATTGTTGCTTAGTGCTACCATAAGACTGCATTTTATCAGTGTCTTCACCGAACAGGAATTTGTCATCTGCGTATTCTAAGTCGATAAGTGGACATCCTGGAAGGAGATTAATTCCCGAGAATTCAGTCGGGCATACATGTTTTTTAAACTGTAATAAAAAATAATTAATTAACGCATGCACCAAGCACTTGAGCATGAGCCTTACTCTAAGTGTGAAAGCGAGTATTATTACGTGGTTGTCCAAACCGAAGTAGATGGAGCGAGGTTCGAAACTGGTCCCTAATAACTGGAAGTTGAACACCCTAACCACTAACCCACTACCCCACCCCTCCTCTAAACTGAGGCAGATACAGTTGATTAATGAATGCATAGCATTGTAGCCATTAAGCCATCACTCTACTCCCGCCATAATAAAGTGTGGATGATGCTGCAGTGGGCTGAAAGAAAACTGAAGACGGAGAAACCAAAAATGTAGTATCAGCCCATGAAGACATTGACTGTTGGACTGATGCTGGGTACAGATTACCTGGTTAAGGTCCTCAGGATTATCTTAACAAATGTTTGGTGACGTTGGTCTACATGGTTCTATATAGATTACAATGGCTTAGATACGTTCTCTCTTTTTCTTCACTTGAACCTTTAGTTTTAGAATTATCTTATACTTATTCCACGTATTTATTCTTCATTCTTGGATCATATTAATACTTTTTACCATCATCGACCCTGTGACTACCTTTACTTCTCTTGATAATTTTGTCTCATTGAGTTGATATGGATAGTAAGGCAGCATAAACCAATGCACATGCCAGATTCTGCCTTGAATGACTGATTGATTTATTTCACGTTTATTCTACATATTCTTTAGTTCCACTTATTTTCAATCCATTATTTTATGTATTAAAAAAGCATATTACGTTAAGCGTTCACTGAATTTGTTTAATTCATATTGAAAAAAGGGAACACATAGTGTTTATTATTGAAAACATTGTTTTAGTTGGTTTGTTTTCCAAAAAAATAACTGTGCAATTTTATAAATTTCCAAGGAGGCGATTAGTCGACGGTTCCGTCACGATCTCTAATTTTCTACTTTGAAATAACAAATTGATTTAAACTGTATAAAGCCCTGACTAAATTAGCAAATCAATCACTCCAAAATATATTTTCACATAGTGACAGAATTTGTTACTAATTTTCCTTAGTTTGTCCTTACAGTTTTCAATATTCAATAAATGTGTTGTATTCAGCGGTTTCAGTCTTTTTTTTTTTCGTTCATTTAATGAATAATTAACCACATTAAATTGCGATTTCCATCAGAGATTTCATTTGGAGCTATCCACAACTATATGCTATTAACATTTTCAGTGTAGTGCAGCCAACATTCCGTGTGAAAAATACATAATAGTGAATTTTTTTTTAAAGTGAAGCCTACCCTCTAATATACACACCACCCATTCAGTACATGGTCAAGCAAATGGCCAAAAGCGCTTGGTTATTAAACATCAAAAACACTATGGATGACCTCAGCTGCCTACGTTATACTTTAACAGTTTTTTTTTTACTGTGTAGAACACACACATGTGTCTAATTGAAATTTATAAAACTATTGTTCGATGAGCAGTATATATGTAGTTATATATATTTGTATAAGTATCATGTGATTTATCTTAGGCCACGGTCGCTATTAACAAACCTACAAACATTTTTCTCTAGATAAAATATTTTGATACATTTCGTATTTATTTATTGTGTTTAAACAAGTTCAGAATTTTTCATATAATAGATGGATTGTAACTGACAGAGGAATCTAGGACTGCCGTTTCATCCGATTTGAAACTTTCCCATTAAATTGTACCTGCATATCTCAATGTATTGATATTCGCCTTAAAACGGTCAATGCATTAACCAGCAACTTATTCGCTGGATATGGTGCTAGCTAGGATGATTCAAACTATTTTCTAATAATGATATACACTTCAAGACTGTTAGTTTTTATTCTGTTCATGTTTATTTTTTAAAATTATTTTTTAGGTAACAATAGTCCAATTGAAATTATGAATTCATTAAATAAAACGTCGCATAATGTTAGTGATTTCAGTACAGTATCTAATCCTGATCAATCAGTTATGTCTAACAATAATAATAATAACAATCCTCTTACCTCATTTATATGTTCATGTTCACCATTATGTAATACTGGGACTAATAATAATAATACATTCCCAATGTCTTCATCGTCTCGTTTAGTTGATGATGTGAATGTATTATCTTCATCGTCTTCTTCCTCATTGATGATTGGTCATGATATAATTGAAAATATGTCTGAAACGAATTATTTTCTTGATGATAATATACAAGTAGCTAAAGTTGCAGCTGGTCTAATTATTTCTAAAAAACCACCTTACTATCATCACCATCAACAACAACACTTCAGTGGAAGTGGTTATCCTACACGGATTTCCGGGTTAACACCAGCTAGTACAACTTTTTCTGGCGTTTCTAATCTGACTAATACTACTACTAGTACTATTTGTGGTGCTGTTACAACTGGTAACAGTAAACAACCACTACCATCAACAGTTCCTTCATTTCGTGTTTCCTCTACAACTTCAACTCGTCATCATCCACATACTCATCATCATCGTTTTATTTTTGATGGTCCTAATTCTAGTGGTAATCAGTCATCGAGTGGATGTTCTACAACTGCAGTTCTTCCATCAGTTCCTATTCCATCTATTGGAACTGATTCTGGTATCAATATTCATAATTTTATGCATAGTTCATTATCATCATCTTCCAGTGAATATAATCGTACACAACTTTACCCTGAATCTTTATTACCTAAACAAAGACAAGATTCACAACAATATCATAATAGTTTATTGAATTTTATTTCATCTTGTCAAATCTCTGATTCACTGAATACATCCACTTCAGACTTAAATTTTTCTGCTACTACTACCTCGTCTTCAGTGGAATCTACTTTAGATCAAGTTGATAATAATAAAAATATTTGTAATACTGATAAAATTATTACTAATACCACTACTATTACTACTGGTAGTAGTAGTAGTACTACCACTACAACTTGTGTTAAAAGTATTCGCAACTCTCCTAATCATGAAATATTTACAGCAGATGAAGACTACTGGGATTTACGTGATAGTAATTGTCAGCATAAATTAATTCAATCATCAAAAGTGTATTCAACTATGGTTGGTGTTACAGATACATCAAATACATCTGATAATCTCTGTCTTATGAGTAAGTTTAGATTTTAAACATGTGATCTCGTTAATCTGGTTTCATTGAGATTTAACTTTTGACAATTTCGGATCATATCAAGCCAAGATTTGATATAAGTCAAAAAATGTTAACGTGCATTAAAATTATGAAGTGATCTAAGTTAAGCCATCATTGAAAACCTGGGGGCACTGGTCTGACGTTTCGTTCTAGTATGGTACACCTCAGCAGTGCGTATCCACAACCCCTGGCGCGAGAATCAAACCCAGGACTGACTGAAGTTATATGTTAACACCGTTGTATACCGATTTAGTGACCTAGAGTTTAAGCGTTCGTGCGCGAGTCCACAGTTCCTGAGTTCAATTGCTATGTGCGTGGTCATGTATGCGTACTCTTGATTAGTCCTATACGAGAGGATAACACGGTCGTCCAGTGCTTCCAGGCTTTAAATGGTGGTCTAACGTTGATCGGTCCATAATTTCAATGAAATTCTATAATCTCCACAACCCGCTATTTAAAATTATTATCTTTTGGGCAAGTACAAACTCTCTGTTTGAGAGTCTATGGAATTTATCTTCGTAACCAATAATTGCAGACGTTGGACGACAGTTTAGAATTGGTCAGAATGCCCCAAATCTATTCACTCCTCATCTTTCCTTTGATCTTGAGTTTCAAAGTCATCCTACACTTTATTATTCTTCGGGGTCATTCTCAGTTCTCAAATCATATTGTGCATACACAATCTTTTCTACTGTTACTATTTCACAAATTCCATTAACTCTGATATTTATCTTTACAATTTCATCTCTATCCACTATTGTAAGATGTGACATCTTGACATGATTCAAAATCGTTTGTAATGGCGCAGGTGCATCCACTCTTTGTGTTCTCCCAAATTCTAGCCTTCTGAATTATTCATGTCCTTTTTTTCTCTTTCCAAATATATTTTACTGGATTATACTCCTTTAATAACATCTTCAAATCCTAATCTTTCCGATTACTGCTTATACTCTTACTACCTCTTCCACTACGGGATTTGAATCGACAATTGTGTGTGTGTGCTAATGTGGTGTAGCAACTCGAACTGATGTACGTACGTACGAAGTTCCACGTTGTTACTCACTGACTGGCATCTTGAACCGATACGTATATGTCCCAGGCTCAATGTTACTTATGACTCGCAGACTTGAACAAAATAACGTTGTTAACAGTATACATTATGTCATGCTAAAAAGAACATTCTTTTTATGCTCTTATTTTTCTTTGCTTTTGACTATTTTTTCTAGCTGGTACAATTTCATCTGATTCTGTTGAACTGCATACATGTACAAAATCATCATCTAATCCATGTGAACTTAATCAGTTTACCAATACATCATTTGTTTATCCTCACTTCAATTTGTCATCAATTGAACCTGGTCAATGTATTTACCGACATCGATTACAGCAATATCGAGTTTGTAATTGTATATCATTACTTCGACGATCATTTTCTGCGAATTCTAACATTCAATTCATTGATTTATCAAATAATGATCTTCAAATTGTTAATTTTCGTCCATCTTTAACATTAAGAACTATGTGTTCATTAGACAGTTCTATTGTTTCTCGTACAAAAACTATAAATGATAACAGTTTGGTCGAGAACACTACTGCTGCTACTGATCACAATTCAAAACTTTGTAGGACTTTGCGATCATTTAGTACTAATCCGCATATTTCTATTCCTTCCCCACTATGTAAATCTTTTGTGGAGGTCGTTTTCAAAAAATTCACAGGTAATGTTGTTGTTATTTTCACCAATTTTTCAAATACGTGCCTAGTTTTTTCTTATGTTTCAAGGATTCATTGTTGATAAGTAATCTTAAGCTAAACTTAATCTATCAGAGAATTTTTTCATCAAGTTAAGTGGTTGTCAGATAAGTATTACATGTGCTCCCAATCAATCAAACGCCGCTTATTTCGACACTCTGTGATAGGCTATGTAAGAGATGTAGGTTATAAGAAACCTAATTGGTTGCAGTGAATCCTCAGAATTATCGTAACCAATGGTCGGAGAATTTGTGTGACATGGCTCAGAATCGTTCGCAATGATACAATTAAATGGAATCTTTGTCTTCCCTCAGATCATTACTTACGCCTATTACCTCCCATGGAGCATACGTCCCTGTCCAAGATTCTCCAACTCTCGTCCCAGAGAATTCCTCGTCGTGCATTATTTGCCGACGCTGGTATTGGTTGAAAAAAGCGGAGAGGTGGTCAGTGTATAACATGGTGTCGTGGTATGAAAGAAAGCTACAAAGGTCTGGCTTGTGTTGGTCCTTCACGACTCCCTGGTTGGGGTCTAAGAGATGGTGCTACACAGTGGCTAGAGACGTTATCAGATATGGCTCAGAATAGAAGCCAGCAGCGATCCTGCTGTAACCTTCTTGTACTTCATAAAAGGTGGTTGTAACTTCCTTAACTGAAAGGATTCTTTCTGGTTGTACCTCTCCACTTCCCCCATTATTATTACTATTATCATTACACTACCACACACTAATCTGTGGTCGTTATCGTTCTCTTTTTCCTTTCTTCTCTCCTATACGCATCTTATACTATTTTTCTCTTCCCATTCTCGTTGTTATTGTGTGGCGCATATATATCTGGTGCCCCCTTGTACCAATATTTATGTGTTCAAAACAAAACAACTCTCTTGAGCTCCTTTCCAGTTGTTTTTAAGTGCTGTTAATTTATTTCGACGTTTGCATCCTATTCCCAGTGCCACTTTTCCTTTTACCTCGAGGATCCCTAGTCGGGGCTTACTTTGTGCTGCAGTCTGATGGTTTCTGTAAACTGTGTTCTTTCCATCTTCAGCCTATTTCTCCTAATTTCCTCTCCAACTGAAAGCTAATTTGTTCTTGCTGATAGTGTCTGGCCAACGCATCTGGATTATCTTTCATAGACAACTGTTTATCAAATACCTGTACCTTTTTGTTGATAGCTTCAGTAGTTATCAATGTTTTGGCTCTGCACAATATTATCGTCTTTCTGTTTCTATTGAAGATTCGGACTTTGGTGTTGACTGACAGACAATTGCTTTTAATCGCGAATGTTCTCCAGTTATTTTTATTCCACCAACTTTCCTTTTCCTTTCGAATCATATCTTCTACGCTGAATGTTTTCTACTATTATTAGTAGTGCTTTTACTTCTGCTACTCTTTTATCGTGTTGTCCTGATGTTATTATGTGACAACTTGTATTAATGCATATATATATATATATATATATATATATTCCTCATAACTGACCAATTTACCTTTTCCAATGCGATACTCCGTCATAAAATACTACTCTGTATTGACTGGTTAATCAGTTGTCGATCTTTAAACATATTGTGTTAGTTAATATTATATCATACAAATCAACTTGTCTATTTACTTAGTTCTATTTTTCCCGTTACAGTTTATGATTAGTTATAGACTAAAATGATGGTGGTTATCTTTTTTAAAATTTGTTATTCTTATAATAAGGCGAATAGTGAGCAAAGTTAAACTTTCAGAACTTTTCTACCGGAACTCATTATTTACATTTTGTTGTTGTATAATTAATTAATACTTGAACTATTGTGCTTGTTTACGCCTACTTGTAAGCTTTTTCATAGTGTGTAAACTGTTATTCTCTGTTTTACATCCCTCAATTTATTGTTAATTGATGATGAAACTATTATCTAGTTCTCTTTCGTTAATTGTGTAGTTATACCTGAATTGTTATTCCTTATTTTTGTATGCGGTCTGTAAATCAATGTTTACTTATCAAGCTAGTTTGTGTTAGATGTTGAACTTTACAATAGAGATGTATTTACCTGCTGTGGTTTTTGTTCAACTTTGGCTATTGAGCATGCGGGCGCGTGAAAACTATCCTAAAAATGGGCTTTAAGATTTGCTTTGGCCTCAACCCAAACTTTATCTTATCAGTAGAATCGTACCATTAGTCAGAGCTTAGAATTTTAGGGTATGGATGAAATAGTACATGTGAGGTATAATAAATTGGCTTATTCATTGGACAGTCATGTATTAGTTGCACTCTAGGTGTGTGGGCTGATGATACTACAAGGTTTCCCAAACTGAAATAGACTGAGTGATATTCTAACCTGAACCCCTTAGTCACTAAGCTATCGCTATACTCAGAGTAGAGAAACATTATCAAATTATTATCGATGAATCTTATCAATTGATATAGACTAGTGTAATGCTCATTCACTACAGTTATATTAAATTGGAAACCAGAAAGTGTTGAAATCACTCGGTGCTATGGTAGATAAATGAAATTCTCGTAGAGCAGTTAATACAGTTATATGTACTGTTTATTAATCTTTTTTTCTCTCTCTTTATAAATCAAATGATAACATGATTTTTAACCAATTTACACTACTCAATGTAATTTGTATCTTTGAGTCAGTTCGCTCAAAAATACTGTCTGACTTTTTTCATAAAGGCATAAAATATTTTGATTGAAATTTTTATGCATGATGGCATAAACTCTACTTTATTATTCACAACTATCTCTTCATGGAAAGCGAAATAAAACATTAACAAATAACAATTTTAGTAATCCTGTTAAAATTCTTCTTAGGTAAGTTTCTAGAATGTTGTAATTGTGGTTGATCGATTGACCCATTGGTCACTTATAATAACAATAGAATAGTAGGTTAATAGTTCGGCTTTCATTCACTAGCTTCGCAGATGAAGGTCCCAGACATCTGAATCAAAGTAAGTATAATACTTTGGTTTGAGTAACTGGGTAGGATCACTAGCCTTTGCACATAAAGGATGACTCAAAGCTGGTTAAATTAATGTGCACTTGGTAAATCATTTACATTTAGCTTAGTTGAAGAGGTTTTGTGGAGATTGGTTTCATGTACACGTTGCATACTCCACAAATTGGCCTCAGTTGAGATACCGTTTTTTATGTTCTCTGTGATTACGGTTAATACGGCATACGACTTCGGCACTCAAACCCGCATAACCCAGTGTTGCAAATCAAGAAGATGGGAAAAAGCAGCAGAAGCGTTTTTTAAGTAAGTGTCAAAATGTACGTAGAAATAGGTATATTTATAGTTTTTGATATAGGCTTTAACATCATTATAATCCAGCCAATCCTCAAGTAGGAAGTTTATGCAATCGTTCAATCACAGCATACTACGTTGATATTCTTGAAGGCTCTAGGGGATTCCGATTAGATGGAATCGCTTCTTTAGAGCCTTTGGTGGTTTCGTCACGCTTTATGTGAGCCGTTCTAACACCGTCAAAATATAGAAGGCTCCGGATGGCCGTTCCGTCCTAGATGGTACTTCTCAGCAGTATCCCGCCCTCGACTCCTCCGGGGCCCAACCCAGGACCTTCGGGTCTCACAGCGAAGTTTAACCATTAGAACCACTGTAGCTCAGTCCAACAGTTCATATTTTCAACTTCAACTAATTTGCGATGTTACATGACAGCTTTAACTGCCGATATTTATGAACTCCACCAATCACGATCTTTCAGTCAAACTTCAGAAAAATCATGAACTAAGTTGTATGCTTTATGATCTTCCGAGTCTGCTTTTGATGTGCGCTTCCTATATGCCCAAACTAACTAATCGAGTAAGAAAACCGAGTAAGTAAAAAGCTTTTATTGGCTAACTGAATCAAATATATATCCACAGCTCGTTCTTAAGTACATATCCCTTTAAAAAAATCTAACCAAATCCTGACCAACAATGTGTACACATTTTTCATTTTTTATTTAGCCCATTTCTGTCTGACTGGCCCAGCATATTAGTAAGGCATTATTGAACTAGTCGCACACATCTGAATAGCCTTATACTAAGACGAAACAACTGTCCTACGCTCCAAAATTTTCAATCATACCTTGAGATCAGTTTTTGACAAATATGTTGCATTATTATAATACCAATAGAATTTGTTCCAGTTTTATTTGACATAGATCAACTGTCACTGATATCAGTGGTAATTAATAGTATAGGGTTGGGGTGTAATTTTTCTAAAGTCAGTTTATAAAATAAGAAGACGATTGATAGTTTTTCATTTATATTAAAAATAAAAGCATATACAATTTTTCTTTGTTGTTCATCTACCAGTATTATTCTTTATTTTTCTGTCATATAAATTACAGATTATTTCATCGTAAACAACATTCTCAAAGTCATGATAATCTTCAATATGGAAAAACTTCAATGGATAGATCAGAACTTTTAAACGATATGGATTTCGACGTACAACTATGGGATGAAGCGAAATCTAAAAAAAAATTATGTACGAATATACCATCCTGGAATTGTACCGGTGAGGATGCTGATACTAATGATGATACACATGAAAATCGTTTTTATAGAAATCTTGATCTTTGGTGTCGAATCTTTATTTGCCCACGCCATGGTGTTCAAAGTCTTCACTGGAACTTTAGTAGTGATGATGGTCAACAACATATTTCACGATTGAATACTAGCAGAAAAGACAGTGTTCCTCAGTCTAAGAAACATTTAAAATCGACATTTGATAATCAAAAGCATTCAAAAGTATCAACTCTGCCACCTCAACTTTTAAATACTACCGCTTTACCTCGACCACTATCCTTGGTACGTTTAACGACAGAAAAATCAAAATGTCATTGTAGAAAAAGTTCTGAACACTATATAAAGAACAAAGAATCGAAAGTTACAAATTTAAACTTCGACGAAGACAGTAGTGTTGGTAATAGTGATATTACTTCTTTAATCATAGATGTAACAAGCTCCCACACAGTGAGTTGAAATTTCTTTCTATTATATATATATATATATATCCATTTGTTCATCAAAGGACGATACTGCATAGCAGTCCGCTCTTTATAACTCTGTTTCTGTGGAACGTAACATTTAAAATAGTTTATTCGTAGGTTTCTAGTACTTCATCACCGATGCCTTCGGAACATTGCTCGAATTTGTTGGAACCACAGAATATCCAATGCTAAGGTTAGACAGTATGATAAGCACAGGTGGTCAGTCGATTGGTGAAGTAGCGAATCTTCCTCGACTGAAGTTGTTGGGACATGTTTTACTCATGCTAAACTACCACCTAACTTGATGTCCAATCATAGCTGGTGCAGGAGTAGGCTGAAAGCAACCAATTAGTGACCATCAAACCAAGACGTCATCAGTCTATAAAGACTATTGGACTTTGCTGTTTACATAGGTGCAGACTACCTTGTTAAGGTTCGTTTAAAAACTGATCAGTAGTTGGAGACGTTGGCATGGTTTAAAATCAGTCCAGATGCACTCTATTTTTCTGTTTTGAATTCGAATATTCGTTCATACCTACTTTCTTATTGTCTTTTCAACTCCTTTACTATCCTTTTTATTGATTTAACTTTGTCATACTAATAAAATCTGACATGTTAGGCTAACACATATTTTTAATCCAGGTTGACTGATTCGACTATTTGCTTTTCCCCACTTCCATTCATATCATCCCTATTTTAAAAGTGTCATTAGTTGCTACAGGGTCTATCTAGGTTAACTAACGCTAAGATCATTTAAATGACATGAGAATAATTATTATTATTATTATTATTATTATTATTATTATTATTTACATTTATCTTTTTAACAGCTTCCTAAAAACAAAATTTCCCATTCATTACTACCATCACATACAACTATCTCTTCAACTATAATCAATCAACTATACAGTTATTCTCCAAATAATAATAATAATTATTACTATTATGCACCGGTTAGTAATAGATGTCCATCTTTAATATCATTAAATTCCTCACCATGTTCTGAACCATGTTTATCTCAAATTAATTTGATCCATTCATTATCATCATTCGGTGTAGATTATAATCATGATTTATCATTAAACAACAACACTTCGAAATCATTAATATCATCTCCATCCTTATCACAAAATATGAAAGAAAGAAATAATAATGATGATAGTATGTTATCAGATGTACAAAAATCATGTCACTCAGAGATGATGACTGGCGGCAGCTCAGTATTATTATCATCGCCATCTTCATCACCACCAATGCCATCGATTGACTTGAAATATCATCCATTGTTCCGTTGTAATAATACTGTTGAGAAATCTTTAGTTGGCTCTTTATCTAACTATTGTGATGTTGAATTTCTAAATGAATTACGCTTGTATTTGTTACGCATGAATTCTCACCATAATGATATTGGTAATAATAATATATCTGGCCTAATTGAATCTTCTCAACAGAGAAAACAAAACGTTAATGATAATGATGCTATTGGCGAGAATGTTACATGTATACGTGATATGCACCACGGTAGTAATGATGATTCTGACATATTACAACTATCATTACATTCTGATAAACAGACACAATCCCTTTCATCATCCGCCTCCTCTTCAGGAGGACTAACAACAACGAAAAGAAGTGATATTACCCGGTCTAAAGCACTTTATGGAAACAACACAATCGATAGCAATATCGATGAACCTAATTATTCCACAAATCAACAGTCTTGTAACAGTAGTACTAGGCAATCATATCTATCTAAATTGTTTGATCGCTCTATTAGTAGTAATGTTAAATCATTATCTCCATCCATTTTCTCTCCTACAATACGAGCAAATACTTTACCAACTACAAGAATTCTTCGTCAACAATCAATTAATCATAAAAGTACTTGGAATAGTGGTAATAATCATCTTATTTGTGTTAATTCATCAAAAGTGGATACTACTAATCAAGATATTCTTGCTTATAGTAACAGTATTAGTAGTATCAATCAAAAAGTCAATAATCGCTTACATTTTTCATATCGTTCTGACCATCGAAATTCCACTGTGCAAGATAATCATCATTTTAAAATGAACACTACTATCAATAATGATAAATTAAATAGCCTATTAACTCGAAAGTTTTCTCATCAATCAGAAATCGATCATCTCTCGCGTATCATAACCACAAATACCTCTAGCAGTAACAATAATAATAAGAGTAATGCAAACAGACGATCCAGAAAGTCCAATGAACAACCTAATGATAAATCTACACTTTCCAATTGTAATGTTGAACAACAAATGCCTGTTGAATATGTAAGTCCATTGCTTAATTCATTCACTTTTATTTATAGAGGGGCAAAACAGTGAAGTTCTTAAGTATTTCCACATAAAGAGAATCATTTTTATTTCTAATCATGATTTGGTGAGTCAATAAGTTGTGAACAACTTAAAATCTAGTGTACTTTTGCATCAGTTCAAGTTTCCACATCATATGAAAGAGCATAACGAGATGGAAATGTCAAAGTAAAAACAATGTCAGTGATAATAGAAAACATTTGGTCAGCATAAACAATATGACTCGAGAAGAAACAGTGAATTTGTGGAATAGGATAATGTAATGTATTTGTAAAAATCATTATTTAATGGAAAATTAACACTGAATGGATCTACGTTATTACGGTGGCTTCTGATACATTAAACTCAAAATCTCCAACCACTGGGTACAATAGTCGCGTAAATGATACTTCCCACCCACCAACCCGGCTTAGTTTAATAGTCAATGATATAATGGGCTGATATCACTGACAATAGTGTAAGGTTTGAGCAACAAGTCGTGATTTGTTGCATACCAAATTGTGCCGCACATACACTATATGTACTTAATGTTGAAATTTTAATTTCTGACTGATTTCCAATTTGTAAGACTTCGAAGATTTATTATTAATACTTCGAGTATTAACCTGTAGTCACAGCATCCACTCTCATCTATCAATCCAAATAAGTGCTACACATCTCTCCCGAACAGATTGATCCAAAAAATGTGAAACTGGGAACATTCCATATTAGATACGAATTATTTTTTAACGCACTGTCTGGTGATGTATTATGCTCTATATAAGACCAGTCGCGACTTCAATGACTCAGTAGCGTCTCACTCTGTAAAGTTGAGTGATGAGAGTTCGAATCTCATAGCAAACATTGATTTCGTCAATATGAAACTCATGTTCGATATCTACTCACTACCTCGAACCACTACCTATCTTCAGAAAATGCTGGTCTATGATGTCAAATTATTTGAATTAGTGATGACATTGTAACTTAGTCGTTGAAATTCGATCAAGTCTACTGATCTAGCAAACATAAAAAACTTACTAGTCAATCGTTAATCCATTTATATCTTGATTGTCTTTTTCTGTTCATTAAACTATACTAAATGTGACGAAACCTTCAGATTTAAGGGCTTCAATTGTTTCTTTCCTTCCTATTACCACTGCCACTATTAATACTTTGATGTTGTGTCTCAACAATTTTATCTCTCTCCCTATACTAATATTGGTATCCGGCTTCTTGGACTGATCCATATATATGGTAGATTTCACTTCATTATGTCTAACCAAATTGTTAATAGCATTTTAAATAGATAAATGTAATATTTGAATTTTTACGCGCGAAATTCAATATTCCGGTGTAACTCAGAATATATTAAGACATTCCAGTACTCAGTGAATTAACACTGACTTCATAATTAAGATTACCGGATATTGTTTAAACAATTCTATCGATACTAATGGTAAGGTTCTTGAACATATATTATTTCATTATTCTATACTCATGTATGTTTGTATGTGTATGTAAAGAAATAACCAACACTAATCAACCAATGTTTATTAACTATTTACAGTAACTTTGACCTCTAAGTTTAACAATGAATATTGTTATATCGTTAATACAATTCAGCTTTCTCATCAATATTTTGTATCAATTAGTTGTAAACCACATAGAATCTGATACCATGTATTCATCAGTTCAACTTATCACACGACAGCACAATGAGATTATCAGTACTAATATAAGTAGTAGCAATATATGGTAGAAAAGATTAAGACTGGAAGAGTGCAAGCGTTCGAGTGTTCATGTTGTAAGCGGAATAGCAAAAAGTTAAGTTCTAGATATAACAATGCTCAACATTATTAGGGAAAGTAATCAGAGATTAATTTAAAAACTTGAGATCTAAGGAAAAACAATGAATGAATAAATTTACATCAATGCAATAGACTCTGTACCGTATCATCTATTATCGTGTGAATTTTAAACACGTAATCTGTCTTCATCAATACAAGTGATTATTTTAAACCATAGATTCATTTTCTCCAGCTCTGTTTATCTTTCCCATACAAAATATCTTTTCAAAACTATTTGATTCAATTCTTTTAAGGAGTTGGAAGAATTTCTTGCACTGAAGTTAATTACTTATATAATATGTATCTCTTTTTTCTTTATTAGCCTGTTTATAATAATTTGATTGAATTACGAGAAAGTGTTCGTTCTTTGAGTAATGATGGTGTTGGCAGTATGTTGACTTATGGTTTAAAATCGATTCCATCCCTTCAGTCCTCAATTATAACATCAACATCTGGAAGCCTACAATCTGGGTCATCATTATCATCACAATCCCTACATGTAACTACCAATGAAGATAATAGTTATCATCATCATCACCATCCCAATCAATCTACAACAGCCAATTATGTTAATTTACCAATGTTTTGGTCTAACCATCATTCTACTACTGCTACTACTACTACTCCTACACCTTCGTCAATGTTTTCTAGGTCGTCCACATCATGTCAACGACAACATTCTACTGATGTGACGACGACGGTAACTACGACAATAGAGCCTCGATTGTATGCTAATATAATGCCGCTCAATACTACCAGTAAATATCAATCAGCTAGAAATAAACAGCAACACAATAAAACTGACTTCAGTTTATTGTCCAAAAATCATATTCGTTATAGTGGTGTTGGTACTCCTCCCTCTGTGGCTGACTGTACTGGTAATAGTAGCAATACTTCATTAAATGGCGAGTCGCAACTGCCATCAGGTGTTATAATTGATCATAATAAATCTCATTCTCTGGACCCTAATTCAGTAATTAATTTTATCCCTACTACAACATCATCAATAATACCTCAATATTGTCCAGTCGCAGTAGTGGCGAGCGCACGAGCAGCGGCAAATTTACCCACTAACTCTGATTATTCAAACCTACCTGATGAGGTAATATTTTGCTTGATTTTAACATATTTATGTATTTTTGATAAGAGAAAACGTTGTGAAACGTTTCACTGAAGTTATGAGCCGATCAGTGTTACGTCACCACTGATAACACTGGGCGGTTTTTTCGCCCTAGGACTCTCCAGCGGTGCGTATTCACAACCTCACAACGCTCAACTTGTAAACCTCTGAACTGGCATTTGATGGTGTTATTGTCTAACTTCTTCAATGGGTAACCATTTCACACCCGACACTTGTACTACAGCGGTCACGGTTTCTCACTGGAACTCCGGGAATTTCCTATAGAAGCTAGTCACTAATGAGCACATGATAATTGTAAGTATAGGATCGTGGAGATTGTTGGGCTTCATTGACCGCCTTTAATGTTGTAAAATAAGTAACATAACATCCCTATTTCCACTATTTGATCATAAAATAGGACATTTCACTTTTCAGAGGCATATGGTGTAAAATATACTTCAGTATTACGAGTCATTTTATGCAAGATTATTGTTTACGTCTAGATGAAACGTAAGACGATAACTTTAAATACCCTGACAACAAAGTTAGCTTTATGATGACTGCACGGACTGTTCTTATGGCATATATTTAATTTGTCATTGCCATAAACCCCCGAACGGCCTGGTACGGCCGACAGTGGGGAAAGTTCGCTCTTCCTTTAGAAATGCTGTCACGTGGCCAAGCGTAAATTGACTCTACAAAGAAAGTTCTACTTATTGCCTGCTTGCGGCGGGGCTGTTTACGAAACTGAGAGTATTCAAAGAAAATTTCCGCTACTTAAACCGAGTTGGTGGTACGGAGCATCCACCTAGGGGAATCGAAAAACTCGGATTCTAAATCAAAGACGTACATGTGCTCCAGGAAATTGAGGGAGCAGATAGCTTGTGAGCCTATTCGTGGTCACTCGCTACCACAGGATTGCATTTTATAACGTTGCTCCATTGCCTCGTGGATTAGACGTGTGCGTCAAGGGTTTGGAGAGTAGCGGGTATACTGAGAAACAACCCGCGTTGGTGTACTTTATAGATATGACCTGCGATTTAACCGTGGTTACTTTGAAAGCATTCCTCGCGTATGTTGAGAATCTCAAGTAAGCGATATTTAGGTTAGACATAGAGTAGTTAGTAAAGCTGATAAACCGAATAATAAGATCTTCAATATTCACCAACTGGGACGGATATTACTCATGCCCCGATTACTACCAACTACCTTGATTATTAGTATTTGGTGCTGTGGAGTTGTACGTTAAATAAAAAGTAGGGGCTTTTTAACCAAAACGTGATATCAGTCCACGAATTCATTTAATGTTAGTCTGAGCGATTTTGATAGATCCAGACTTCCCGGTTGGTACTCACGCGATTTTTTTAGTGACCAATGCTACTATTGTGGCGTATGCTACTTATACTGACATATAAGTAGTATGTAGCACCAACAGAAAGTGAAATGCCAGGAAGGAAATCTGAAAGCAATCGAAATAAAAACAAAATTAGAAGAATAATGGAGTGTGTAGAAGACAACAAAAAGGGGATGTGCAAATGATGTATTTAATATATGATTTTCGTATCTACTAAGCCACTACATTATTTTGCTTTAAACAATAAATCCGTTTTCCCTGCTTAAAATATCGTTCACTACACTATCACTGTTAGTGGCAGTTCGATGTGACAACTCTTTGACAGATACACATTAATTATGGGTTCTGCGTTCTTCGTAGATAACTCATTCTTTTGACCTGCATTATACAAATTTCCGTAGTATTCTCTTTTAAACTTTGCTTTATTTCATGTGTAGTTGAGTCAATCAGTCAGTCGCAACTTAGAACTTTATACGCATATACATCAATTCAAGTTACCATTTCCTATTATCCCAGAGAGATGAGATAGTTAGGCTGAATCCCAGCGTAGTAGATGGAATAACAGTATCAGTGGTAATGAAACGGATTAGGCATGGAAATGTAAATTAGTGGACTAAAACAAAAATTTATTATAAATCCAGAAGCTCAGAATTTGGGATATATCTGCGCTATTGTAAATGATTTCTAGTCATGTCATTCAAAGTTTCTAACCATCGGTTACGATAATCACGTGGACTCCAACCAGGTAATCTACACCTATTAGGACGGCTTAGTTGAATTGTCAATGACTTCATTAACTGGTGCCATTTTGTGGTTTGGATACCCCTAGTTTTCTTCAAGCCTACTTCTACACCAAACATCGCCTGTCGAGTTGGGCGGTGGCTGATGAGTATTTGATGTAATCATCGAATTTACTTTTAAATGTCACTGTCTAAACTTAATTGGGATCAGAACACTCCAGATTTGTGTATGTGCTTACATATCATTTTAAAGAAGAAATTCTCTAACCATTTTAAGAAAAAATCAGACTTGACTACTAGCATTCTATTCCGTTCATCACCATACTCTTCTACATCCATTTCCCCTCTTTCTCTATTCACTTCAGGTCCGTGATCCTAGTCGGAATTATGCTATGGTCGATTTAAGACCTAGTCCAGCAAGTTCTACTATTCCACCTACAGAATTAACACTGAACATAATTCAACATCATAATGATCACCGTACTGGTCAATTTACAACCTGTAACAGTAGTAGTACTAGTACTGGCAGTAGTAGTAGTAGTGGTGATTGTACGAGTGATGCAGCCACTCTAACATCGGATACTATTGAAAGTTACGAAACTATTGGTGCTTCTAATAATAACAATTCATATAATAATAGTAAACTAAACAAATTGAAAGCAAAAAATTCAGTTGATACGGACGGTGGTGGCGGTATTCGTGGTGAAGATGGCAACTTATTGACTGGCTCAATTTCTTCATCACGTCGTAGACACAGTCATAGTTTATCATCAGTGACTACAACAGACCATCCATCAATTCTATTGAATTATATTCATGTTATCGCTGCATCTAATAGTCGTTTTACATCAATAACTACAACTGCCGATGATGCAGTTCGATTATCCGGTCCATGTTCTGTAGGTGATTCTAATCATAATCATAATAATAAGAGTTTAATTTGCGATTTTGGCAATTCACCTAATTCATCTAATAGTAGTAGTAGTGGTCTTGGAGTTACATCATCATCGTCATCATCAACTGGATCTTCTTTAGTACCTGTTTCATCAACTTCATTTGGTGATACTTTTTCATGCCGTTCTATGACATCATCTGGTATTTCTTCAGTAGAAGGTGGTAATGTAGTTGTTTCAGATATGGTAGAACTACCCAGTTGTTCACCACCTGATGAAAATTGCGTCAACTATACACAAATTGATTTTGCACGTACAATGGCATTAGGCGAATTATCTGGTGATATTATGGCACAAGAAAATCAAACGTTGCATAAATTACCTTCTACTACAACCGGCATACGTATTGCTAATCGATGGAGTAGTAGTAATTCAAACAAAATTGATCGTACTACGTCTGTTAAAAAAACATTATGTCGTTCTATACGCCTGATTGGTCGTGGGACTCGTAAAAAAGTTGGATAATTTGTGGGTGAGAAGAAAGAAAAGCAAACGAGAACTATGTGTAAATTCAGTTATTCGTAGTTTACATATTGTTCTGTTGTCTGTGGACAGATGGTTCGCTATCTTCTTTTTTTTTATAAAGAATTTTTATTAAAATAGTAATATAGTGTTGGATGGATACTATGTGCAATTTGTCGAGGCTCTCTCTCTCTTTCTGTTGTCTGTCTCTGTTACCGGATCCTTCTCATCAACCTTATGCATGAATGAAAATAAGATAGTATGTAATTTTGTGATTGGTTGACTGTCATCTACCTGCTCAAATTTTATCCTTTCATCATTTTGTTTACTTATGAAAATTGACTTTTATTTTTTAGTGATTATTTTTCATTGTTCTCTTCCACGTTTAAAAAGAAATGTATATCCAAGCTATTATTACCACTACTACTAAATATTGTTATTTCAGTAGTGTCAAACTAGATTTTTACGTACTCTGTACCATTGTTAGTTTTTGTCGTGTTCGACTATGTGCTGTATATATATATATATGCGTATGTGTTTGTCCTCACACATACTGCTTCTTTAAAATAATATTTGTGTATTCCGTTCCTGTTTACCTCATGTTTTTAGTTGTTTAAAATGTCCTCATGTTTATGTAAAACTATTTTCTTAAGACTCTAACACTTACCACAACCATACATTGCTATGCCGATACATACACACGTATACTTGCATTGTTTTACATTTATGTTTTCATTCTTTTATTTCCTTTACTTATGCTTTCTCTTTTAAATTTCCAAGAAAAAACTATTTCTTAATCTTAGTTTTTGACTTACATTTAGATCATATTTACCTATACATGCGCGTGTGTCACCCTAACGGTTTCGATTGCCTGGCTCCTTTTTTCCTCTTTCAATTAACCATTTTATTCACATTATTCTTTATGTGCATGTTTTTTTCTATTTTTATCCATATCACCTACACATATAAACACCATAAAGAATTCTTATGCCCAATATTGTCATTTTCAGCTCTACAATTCAGTTTTGCATAGACACCGTATTTGTCTATTGTGCTTTTTTTTCCTAATTGAAAACAATTATTACCAAATCGTGCACATACTAGAAATGGCCCGTGAACCCCGCTCGCTACTAGCTGGTATTTGTGCTAAGTGAGTCTTTACATTGTCATCAGTTTTTTGCTCATCTATTAATTTCTATAATTACTTTTATTTTTCAAATCAGTTTATTTGTTATTCATGTATGTTACTGCCTCTCGTCGCCTATTGCTTTTGGATGTATATTGAAAGATGACAGTCGAAACAATCTTATTTAATTGTCCACAGAACTGTGACTTATTTCTGTTATATTTTCACTTTTCTCTTGTTTGCCGATAAATTTGTTTATTATTGCCTTCCCTTCAAACATATTCTTATTCTGTGCTAACTCTTCTCCTTCTTGATTGTTTCTTTATTTATTATTATTATTACTGTGTGTATATCAAGAGAGAAACCTGTAAACAGAGGAAGATAGATAGAGAGAGTTTAGAGCAGTTTGTACATAAATAATTAGCGTGAAACTATACGATCTCAATTTTGCTTACTTCACTATCGTTTAATTATCTTCTCTTTTGATAATTGTAAGAGATTGTTCAATTTATATTTGTTTGATTTTTTGTTCTCTATGTATTTATATTCGCTTAAATTCCTTTGAAACGTCGTCATTGTTTAGTTGTTTTCTTTTCACATGCCTTGATAAATTTATGTATATGATTTTCTCAATAGTTTCTTTTGATTGAGTTGGTTTTTGATCCTGTGCTCTCTTTTTTTTTTCCTTTCTTGTATTTTATGTTACTTTTCATCGTACATAAATGTCGAAATAAATTTCTATGATGATTTTTACACATATACAAAATATATGTTTACAACATATTTGTCATTTTTATAATTATTTAACTAGTTTTTATTTGGTGTTTTCTTCTCAACATATAATAACCAACCACCTAGTCTTTGTCCTTGAATTATTTTACTTACTACTTAATATACTACCTACTCATTAGTATCAACTTTTGTTGATGTCATTTGCACATTTTATTGTTGAAACTATTATTGTGTATGTGTGACGACGTTAAGCTAATAATAACAACAACACACATGTCTTTGTTTCTGTACAGTTTTCATTCTTTTCGTATAAAAATCTTTTTTTTTTATGATTACTTCCCTATTTCTCCTGTTCCTCCTATTCGCGATCATCAACCGAGTTGTTGTTGTTTTTTTTTTTTTGAATACCCAATTGTTCCACATCACAACATCCTATACACAATGTTAAAACTTTTACAATCTTCGATTTATTGAATTTCCAAGGAAATATGAATATAAGAAAAAAAACAAAATTTAGGCGCAACATTCTTACCTCTCCCACCCTCTTTCTCTCTCACCTTACAATTTTATGTGCCGTTTATTTTTAATATTATCGTTTCATTATTGGTATTGTTTGTTTGCGTTTTGTTTTTAAATAATTATTGTTATGACTTTTATCGTATATATATATATATATATATATATATATATATATATGGCTGTCACAGAAGTTAAGCAAAGAATCAGTAATTAAACTACCTACCTACCTACCTCTTCGTTCTTTTCTTGCCTTGTTTCTTTCATAATCATCATTTATTTATTTATTATCTCACAATTTTTCCCGCTTTCTTTTGGTTAGGAACATTTCCTTGATTTTATTACTATATATTTCATATAGTACTAATGTCAATTCTATTCCCCTCTCATAACCATTAATAATGATGTCTCTTCTTCAATTTTAGAATACTTTCCTTGATCTTGTTGTATAATTGGGTTGTTTGTTTTTTTTTTGAAAAAAAAACTTGATTGTAAACTCTAATATTCTCTTTGTTTATATTTTGGTTCTAATTTTATTGTTGATTCTTAACCTTACGTCAATGTTACAATTTCATGATCTCCTGCTTATTCATCACACTTGTTTGTTTGTTTGTTTTTTTCTAATTATCATTTGGAACCTGTCACGTTATATTTTTTTACATAAATAAATATTACTTAATTATGTATAAATATTATTTACATAAAAATAAATATAATGTATTCTTCAATTGTGTTTTCCAGTCAAAATTTCAACTTATTGCGGTTAATCATTAACATTTCACATATATCCATAGTATGTGTTGAATTGGTTCAGTCTATGAAATCCGTGTGTTTGGTTAAATACCATCTTGATAAGGTGGAAAGTTGAAATAGTGTTATAGTAATTCACATAATTGAATTTTAAACATTCCACTGTTAGTGATGCGAAATCTGTTACTCTTTTGCATCAATTAACAAAATATTTGTAACATTAACTAATGTATATCATGTTGTTAAGTCATTAAAAACAAACAATACAATTTAGTCAATAATAATGATTAGATTAGAAGTCAGATGTAAAGTAATCATTAGAAGCGGTTCTGTGGAGATTTGAGTAATTTCAATAGTTGAAATCATGAGTCAATTGAAGCTAGACCACCTGGAAGCACTGAACCTCTGTTTCATCCTAGTATGGGACTCCTCAGCGGTGCGCATCCACGATGCCGCATCACGAGATTCGAACCCAGGATTCATGATTTCAACTATTGAAATTACTAAAATCTCCACAAAACCCCTTTCTAATAATAATCATCTGCCCATTAGTGACTGACTTCAAGAGGCATTTCCTGGAGTTCTAGTGAGAAGCCATGACCAGTGGAGTTCAGCCAGGTCTGTTGTGAGATATCAGCTCAATGGTGTATGGTGGTGCAATTTTGTGGGTTGGTTGAACTTAGACATAAACACCGTTGGATGCCGACTCAGTGGTCTTGGGTTGAAATCTCGTGGGGGGTGCGGGATCGTGGATGCGCACTGCTGAGGAGTCCCATACTAGGACGAAACGGCCGTTCAGTGCTTACAGGTTATCCATGGTAGTCTAACTTCAATTGACTCATGATTTCAACTATTGTAAAGTAATCAGTTAATGTCAAGTGTTGCTGACGTATTTAACCTTGGATGATAACTGCATATTCCAAGTTTAATGTGTTTGATCGGCTTAATAGGGAAAAAACAATTCATGAACTTTAATTAACTATATAAACGAATAATACCATTTTTAATGAGATCCTCATCAGGCTTTAATTTACATTAATACTTAAATGCACATATGAAAAAACCGATCAAAGGAGTTTATAAGTCAGTGATAACCGTGGGATTGATGATATAAATCGGTAAAAAGTATAAATTGATAACAGGTGTACTAGTTGTGATAAGAATAATAAAGACTTCAATTAATGATTTACTTTGAAAGTATAAAAAATATGAAAGCCAAGTATTATTTTAAAAATAAATTATATACGTCATTAGGGTTGAAATTTAATACAATAACTGTTAACTAAAAGTTACTTTGACTAGATCAGATCACTTCATCAATTCGTCGATAGTTTAACTCCCATTCACTAACACAATAGTCAGCTACGTCCCAGTATTTCTATCTTGTTCACTCTCGTGGATACAGTACACATGGTCTCTTAACATGATCACTGTCAATATGATCTTTACTTTCTAATATATATTAACATCCACGATCAGTTAACAAAATATCTTAGTTGTGTATACCTGTTGATGTATTACAACATTTTGGTATTTCAACTGTAATATCACGTAAGTTGTGAATCTGAACAATAAAAAGTATTTGTGATCTCTCTCATCATTCTAATTGTGGTGGAGATTTTAACGGAAAATTGGAATTCGCTAAATGTATTGATCGTGTGGAGACAATTTATTTATTTATTTAAAAAAACAGTACAGAAAAATTCATGAAAGCCTTCAACACTTTTTCTCGGATACACCACAACCGGTTGTTACTTAAATCAGCCCTATAGTCTAATATCTTCGTACCAAACGTTTTGTATGAATCAGTGAATACTTCATTTCATTAATAATAACTATTGGAATAGGCAAACAAAACATTGATCTGAACCCCATAGTA